TTGCTTGCTAAATGTTCTTTTTGAAGGTAGTGTATTATGAACTTTTGGCTAAATGTTGTTGACTAACGTCGACTTTGTTGCGGCATCAACCATAATGCTAAATGTTCTTTTTGAAGGTAGTGTATCATGAACTTTTGGCTAAATGTTGTTGACTAACGTCGACTTTGTTGCGGCACACTTCAACCATAATTACTTCACGAGATCCTATTCAGGTAAACAAGACTCATATATCTGGTTGAAGGGGCTTGGTTAGAAGGGCTTGGCTGCATTCTATAGGTACATATGTATATATTCTGCATTTATTATATAACCGGATTCCGTGTTAGAAATTCTTTCCGAAAGATAAAGGGTTGAAACCTGACTAAAATAAGGCACAGGGATTCTCCGGTAAAGTGGACGAATAAATTATTGCATACACCATGTTCTCATTTGCCGTGATCTGCCTTCACTTCATTCGGTCTGTTTAAGCATCATGAACATACTCACAACAGATTTTTGTTACCCGTTTCTATGCCGAACACGTGTCCACTTCCTGGCCACTGTTCAAACCTTATTCCCGTAGGAATCTATCGATTCCTACCATCAGTTGACTAAATAAATTGGCCAGCACTATCCACACCTAGGTCCTGACATATCACTGTTCCACTAGCCCGACTGTCAGTGACTTTTATCAGTATGCTATTGTTGCGCTTTGCTTTGCAGCCTCAGAATCGTCAGAAATTATGACTTGGAGTTGATGATATACATTTATTTGCATCAACCGAAAAGTTCCTAGCAACTTTACGAGCGGTGTTTTCGCTCAGAAAAATATGACTTGGAATTGTTTCCACGTCTGTCTGCCTAGGTATCAGTAAGTACTAACTATCCATGTCAGAAAGGAGAGAAATCGTATGAAATGAGGTTCGGTCGGGGTTATCCTTTTTGTGGGTTTTTTCCCAATAAAGAATCAATGTACCTTCTCTTAATTGCTTAAACTGAAAACTACTCTGACGCCCACCATTACACACTCAAGGCAGCAAGTTGGGTTGGGTCTCTGGATGCTCAGCCATTGAGGATAGCAGCCGTAGATATCTCGGTCTTCTAGTGCACACTGCTCGAAGAAAATAATCAGCTAAATGGTTAACCCCGATTGTCTGAGGCTAAAAATCACTCTAAAACCTTGATCGATCCGCGGGGTTTTCGATGATTTCTCTTCGAAGAGTTCAACACAGACAAAATTTCGCTTTCCGCCATTTTCTTTAGCAACAAGAAAAAGCGTCGGACTGTCAGGTTTATAGGAAATTCAACGAGCCTACCTGGTGTGGTGAGGGTATATGAGCGGATAAAGAACACGTTCATTTCAGTAAGAGGGGAGTATGGAACTATGGATGGAACAGTAAAAATTCAGTGCTTCTATGCTCTATTTCAATTTTACCTCACTCAGTGCTTATACATAAGAAGAGATGAAACAATTCCTTGTGAAATTGCAGTGCAATTTCACAGTTACCCCATCCAAGTCTCTGTACTGCTAGTTAAGGCCGGCTATGCAACTGTATTCGTTTTCAACATGGACTGAATGAACTATTTGTTGTAGTGCTTATTACATCCAGGGGGCATTTTTGGATACACCAAAAGATGTCATCATCAAGGCTGCTTCCTAGTTTTCTAGAAGATAAGTGCTTCGCTTTAGCTGGAGTTATGTTAATACCCACTAGCCTCTTGGTTGACGTGAACTGCGTGCTGAAAGGCCTAATGTTGTTATGACTTTAATAGATGCATCTTGTTCACACTGTTGAGAAGCGGCTCGTTGCTGAATCGTACAGTGTCTAACTACCAGCCGAAAAGCTGCGGGATCAAATCAACTTAGGGATCGCTAGATGGCTTCTTCTGAATGCCAACAAGGACAAAACAGCAGTACAGAGCTACTCAAGTAAAAGTTCGAAATCCCAATATTTCTCAGAGATAAATAGGTGGAAAAGTCATCTTCCGGGGAGCAAGCCATCAACGAATGATCCAACGTGAGCCGCGTAAATGAGGGATGAATGGTGTGATATTCTGTCAGCTTGTGTGTTTGTCACACAACTCAGCATCAAATTGTAGCCTAATAATATAGTGTTCAGCTAACAGCCAGAAGGATAGTTGTTTAAATCTGAATATGTTCACTGTTAATAGTTGCCAACAAGGATGAGGTGGCTAACTGGTGCCTCTTGACTTTCTATCACAGACGTCACCTGTAAGATAAAAATTAAATTTTATACGTTAGGGTGTCAGACGCAAACGCTAAGGATATCTCCCAGAATGAAAACTACAAACCGTTTTTAACATCAAGGTTTGGCCATTGGCTGGAAATATAGTCGGAGTAGAACTCAACGAGTCGTGTTTGTAGGCTGCTGAGACGCAAAATGAAGTGCGGAATCGGTCTGTTCTCATCCCGGTCTTCGCCCGGACAACCATTCGTCATGTCAGACCAAACCAACGGTTCCATTAAACGAGTGCACTCATCACTAGGAGCCTCTGGACCCTTTTTTCCAATGAGGCGAAGGACGTATCTGCACATGGCTTCATACGGATCCCCTGCACCATCGCTGACGAGGTCCGACAGCTCACGCAAAACATCGGCCTAAAGAGAGATAGTGGGAATGAATCATGAAAATTCACCGGACACCGTAACAAAAAAAACGGTCTCTTCTCAATGACATGGTATCAACGAAGTTTTCTTGATACAATAAAGACAAAAACTGTAGCGTTTCGTATATCGCCGGTATACAAATTAGGGTGTAAAAAGTTCACACGTCACACAAAACTTCTCTGTCACACGAGGAAATAGAATGACGACAGTGGTCTTTAATGGTTATTTAACCTCAATTATAAATTTATTAATACACACCAGGTGATTTGGTGCACGAAGTTCAACCGGCTGATTACTACATAACAGCAAGCCAATAAAAATAGCCCGGTCAATTAAACGCAAGAGACTATTATTCTATTTTGGTGTGCTTACTTCGCCACATATTCAAGCTGATAGAACATGCAATCTCTAAGTCGCAGTGCGTGACTGATTCCCCTACGCTGCAACCAAAAAAGTAACTTCAGGATATTCATATGCATGAAATAGTACAAAACACCATTCAAGAAGAACATAGCTTGGAAACCCTGAAGTCAACACTGTAGGACTCAGAATCACTATACTGTCCCAAGAAGTATCATGATAAATGTCAACAAAAACAGATAAGAAGGACTTGGTAAGGTAAAATGAAGGTGATTACTACTGGGAAGGTGCAGGAACATTCCACAAAAGCAATGCAGCAAAAGAATACAGAAGTGAATATGGATATGCATATTTTTCAATCTAAATGGTACAAGTCCCAAAAATTATAGCAT